GTGAACTCAAATAATTAATTTTTACTAAAAGTTAGCACACTCTTTTCAGGAATTGTCATTTTTAAGTCCCTAACAACATTTGCTCTAACCACTGTAAGACAATACCCTCACCATAACATATTAAGCGAGGGTTGACATAAATCCTACATAAAATTTAAAGTACGTAGAACAGGAATAAAAAATCACAAGAGCTATAAAATGTCGATGGATGATTGGAGCCTGAGGATGACAAAGAAGGAGGGTTTCATTTGATTGCAATTAGATTTTGTGCAACACATCTAAAAAATTAATGATGGTGACCGCTGACGTCGTTAGGTCCGTTTTAGGGGGGCTTCAGCCCCCCTAAAATAATCACAAGCCCCCCTATCATTTTGGTTTATTTTATTTTTTCAGTTAACTTTTTTTTATTTGTTCACATCTACATGCTCAACACAATCACGACACGTGTAGTTGGTACATGAGTTTTTTTTTTTTAGTCTTCGTCTTCGTCTTCCTCCGCTTATCCGGGTCCGGGTCGCGGGGGCAGCATCCCAAGGGAGCTCCAGGCCGTCCTCTCGCCGGCCTTGTCCACCAGCTCCTCCGGCAGGACCCCAAGGCGTTCCCGGACCAGATTGGAGATGTAACCTCTCCAACGTGTCCTGGGTCGACCCGGGGGCCTTCTGCCGGCAGGACATGCCCGAAACACCTCCCCGGGGAGGCGTCCAGGAGGCATCCTGACCAGATGCCCAAACCACCTCAACTGGCTCCTTTCGATCCGGAGGAGCAGCGGTTCTACTCTGAGTCCCTCCCGAATGTCCGAGCTCCTCACCCTATCTCTAAGGCTGAGCCCGGCCACCCTACGGAGGAAACTCATTTCGGCCGCTTGTATCCGCGATCTCGTTCTTTCGGTCATTACCCAAAGCTCATGACCATAGGTGAGGATTGGGACGTAGATCGACCGGTAAATCGAGAGCCTGGATTTCTGGCTCAGCTCCCTCTTCACCACGACAGATCGACTCAGCGTCCGCATCACTGCAGACGCCGAACCAATCCGCCTGTCGATCTCCCGATCCCTCCTACCCTCACTCGTGAACAAGACCCCGAGATACTTAAACTCCTCCACTTGAGGTAGGACCTCTCCCCCGACCCGGAGGTGGCAAGCCACCCTTTTCCGGTCGAGAACCATGGTCTCAGATTTGGAGGTGCTGATCCTCATCCCAGCCGCTTCACATTCGGCCGCGAACCTACCCAGCAAGAGCTGAAGGTCAGAGCTGGATGAAGCTAGGAGGACCACATCATCCGCAAAAAGCAGAGACGAGATTCTCCTGCCACCAAACTCGACACACTCCACACCACGGCTGCGCCTAGAATTTTTTTTTTAGTCTGAAACAGAAATAATAATTAATGAATATAGAACTACACCGTCGCACACAGGAAGTATCAAGAAAGGACTTCCTCCCCTTAAGCCCGGCAGCTTTGTTGACAAGTCAGGGGCAGGGGTTATACAGCAAAACCTTTATATCGATGAGCAAACCCTGCTCAGCGCTCTTGTAAGTCACTCAACATCACATTAGGGTAAGACAGCAACAGCAGCACACCGTTAATACTTCAAGGTTATAGTTCAGACGAGAGAGGAAAATGTTACCGCACCGACATGCTAACGCTAACTCCGCTAGCATGTTTACATGCCGCAAACCATAATGAAAAGCCGCGCCATAGTTAAATGGTCGGAAAACTCCCCTGAAGTGACGTGATTAACGAGCCAGCCAGTTCATTGAGTGACTTAGTGCCACCAACTTGAGCGTACAGTAATGAGTCTGCACAAACAGAACCTGCTCTGCGCTTGTGTGCAGGAGCTACAGCCCTCTGTGGGCTCAACTCTGTCTCTGCGATGCAAATCTCTCCCTGCTCTCCTCAACAAGTAGCCTCTCCAACAGTCAATCACAGACAGCTCTGTTTTATCCAATCAAAGCATGTCCAGGAAATACTGCTTTACAGAAAAAACACCCATTTAACAGCTTAATGAACTGCTTTCTGCTGCTGGTTAGCTACCAGTCACCATCCACTGCCTGCAAGATACTTTGTTGTAATTCATGTGTCATGATTAGGGTGACCATATTTGACTTCCAGAAAAGACACATTGCCCAGTCCTAAAACTGTTAAATTGCACTATTTTCAGTTAAAGAGGACTTTTAATTTCAACATATAAAGTGTTTCTTCTCTGTTTGGTTAGACGTAAATGAGCCCTTGATGTGTAAAAGGAAGTGAACAGTGGAAATGTCCCAGGAAAAGAGGAGGGTTAATCAACCTAATTAAATATTATATAAAGTCCTCTTTATCTGAAAAAAGTGCAATTTTCCTGGCAGTATTTCCTGGACATGCTTTGATTGCATAATGGAGAGCTGTCTGATTGGCTGACGGAGAGGCTACATTGCTTTGTAAATTGCAAATTGAGCAACAACAGGGAGATTTGTGCAGGCAGAGACGGAGTTGAGCATGCAGAGAGAGGGCTGCATACGACTGCAGAGCAGGCTGTGCTCTTGCAGATTGATCACTGCACGCTCCAGTTGGTGGCACAAAAATCACTCCACACTAAAAACCTGAATCAGAATATGGCCGAATGTGTATATTATTGACCATTTTTCTATATTATATATTTTTTCTATAATATATATATTATACTATAGGTACATATATGTATCTATAATATAGTAAACAGCCAGTTTTATAATGTCACATATATTCAAAAGCTACATCAAAACATATATATGTTTATATGAATTCTTTCCATGTGGGTTGTCAATTGCTTAATATTTCCTAAGTTTACCTATGGTAAAGAAAGGAGATATTGTACTCATCTAACTTTAACATAAATTTTGGCAGCTTAATGTGACATTATGGAAAATGCCATCATCATGAGCAACCAGACATAGGCTATATTAGGCTAACAGTTGTCCATATTCTGTACCATCTATCCACCAATGGCTGTTTCAGTTATTGTGAGTGAAAACTATATGGCATAGTAGCATTTGTTTTGGCATTAGAAATTGAAAATGTTTTTCAATGTGTTGGCTAGATCGATATACGAAGATTTTTTCAAGAGAGTGAGTGAGGAACAGGAGAGAGACCAGGTGGTTGATGCTGAGGAGATCTGCATGGTCAAGGTCAGTGATCTACAGAGAAAACAGGGGCGAGCGCACCGTTATGAGCATTTACCTGAGCACAAAGTTCCCAAGCAAAATTGAACAGTTTTCTATTTAGGAGTGAACAGGTAAGAGAACTTGAGAAAAAAAAACTATAATTATCATCTGACCTGCAACCTTTATGTCAAGTTGTATCTGTATAGTTGACTTTCTGTATTATAAGTTCTACTACTTGCTGTATATTTTCATATATACTGTTATTTTGTCTTGTAATAGTTAATTATATACTCCTTTATTCCATATCATAGCAGTGTTATTCATATATTAAAACTGTCAACTGCACACCCATTTGGCAGAATAAAAGTTTGACAATTATTCATTTGTTCTTTATTGTCACATTTCAGTAACATTTATAATTAAACAAGTTGTAATTAAACAAATTAAATAAATGACTACAACATTTCCCCCTGTTAAGTGCAGTAGACTGAAATGAATAGCTTTATTTGGAAATATAACATATCAAATTTTTAATGGACTTACATAAAATCTTTCTTCAACATAGACCCCACTAATGAACTGATCATGTGTTATTTTTTATAAAAAGAAGAGAGAAAATGCACAAAAGTAGGAAAGGAAAGGAAAGTGATAAAATAATAGGTTTTGTTAGATTTTCTTCAGATAATGAATTAATTGACAAAGTTTTTGCAGGGCGTGACAAAAAACGTTCGAGGTCAAGCTCCTGGGGCTAAGCCCCCCCTATATCTCAATCCTAGTGACGTCCATGATGGTGACATTGAAAACACTGCAATGAAATGACAACCTATCTGGAGAGAACCCCACCTGTTTGCCCGAAGACTGCTGGAGACGGGCACCAGCCCCCTGCGTCCATGCATGGAAAAGATGGACTTTCAGAACAGATTTATTTTGAATATAAAAATATTTTAGTACATAAACTGTATATTATACATGGGCCTGAAATCAATAACTTCTAAAAACTACAGCAGTTAGCTGCAGTTTTCAGTTTTATAAGACAACATTTATTTTAAGTTGTTTGTTGAAACAAAAAGTTTCTTTTAGATTGATGAGTTTGGTTTGTGTACTTGCCTAAGACTCTTATTGTGAAGGACTGCAGGAAGTGTAGGAGTTTTGTGGAAGCTGTAGGAGTAAAGACTTCCACTGAAAACAATTAAACATATTATACTGTTATTTTGTTTTTTTGTGGTTAAAACTCAGCAATTAATAATAATAATGATAATAATAACGATGATGATGATAATGATAAAATTGATGATGATGATGATGATGATGATGATAATGATATTAATAATAATAATAATAATAATAATAACGATGATGATGATGATGATGTGGTGGAGGTGGTGGTGATGATGATGATGATGATACTAACAATAATAGTAATATTAATAATGATAATGATGATTATAATGATAAAGGTGAGGATGATGATAATAATAATAATAACAATAATAATAATAAATGATAACAATGATAATAATGATAAAGGTGATGATGATGATGATGATGATGATATTAATAATAACAATAACAATAATAATGATAATGATAAGAAGAACAAGAAGGAGAAGTGATGTTGATAATGTTAAAGGTGATGACGATAATGATATTAATAATAATAATAATAATAAGAAGAAGAAGAAGAAGAAGAAGAAGAACAACAACAACAACAACAACAACAGGTACTAAGTTTTCTTCCATAGGCTACCAATTTTGACATTTCTTAACATTTTGACATCATTCTTTGCAGAGTGGTTCATATTCTGAATTGCTCTCCACTTTCATACCATTGTAAAAAGAAATGCTCATTAAACAGGAAGTATGAATTAAAGAAAAACTCACGCAGGAAGTATTCAGAAGCATCTGCCTCATAGTCGGCATCCTCTGGAAAGTGATCTATCTGCTTACACATGCCTTTAAACGACCCTGTTTGGAAAAAGAGAGGAGGAAAGAATGCATCAGAGTGTATGGGAGACGATACTCAGCTTAGAGTGAAAGAGATACAGATAGAACTATATTGTACGCATGCGTTTATTTGTGTTTGGTTAATTTTCACAATAATCTTTCATAAAACAAAAAGTAGCGACACAAAAAGTAGAAAATTTAGGGATCAAGTAACAAAAGAAAGTATCGGAGGAAAACAAGGCAGGATAGAGTTGTGTGTGGGGAATTAAGACAAAGGAGAGGAGAAAAAGAAAAAAATGTTTTGCATATACAAAGTGAGATGAAGGAGCTGGGAGGAGTTCCTTCTAAATCCCTCAAAATCGGGTTTTCGTGATTGTATTAGGGTAGGAGGAGAGAATTAGCTGAACGCAGGAGAAGGAGGAAAGGAAGAGATGGTGTGGCTCATTAAGATGGATTATGTGTGTGAGTGTGTGGCTTGGTTCAGCTCCAGTGCTAATTGCATGCCCTCCCAAACCACTGCAATTAAATGGGCCCTTGGTAATTGGCAATTAGAGGACGAAATACCAGCGCTTGGCTTTTAGATTGCTTACAAACACACACACACACACACACACACACACACACACACACACATCACTATATAGTCGCTCTTCTCAGTCAACACAATGAAAGAACATCATCAAACACAGAAGCATTTCATCATAGACTTCAAAAACCAACGTCTGGCCAAGAAATGTGAAATAAAATCATGTCTAAATCATTCTCTAAGCACATACTAGTTTCCACCGACTGATTTATGTGACAGAAGAAATAATAAAAAATGAAAAGAAATCCAACAGAGAAGGAGATGTTTGGTAGAACAGGAGTAAAAAGTCAAAGCAGAGTCAGAAATGGGATGGGGTTAAAGGACAGTAGATAGGGTGAGGATGGGGAGCTGCAGTTATCAAAAACCTGGTTAATTAAAAAGAACCAGAGGATTGTAATTTTTAAGGTGGATGTATGGTGAAAACAAGCAGTTCCTAAACCATCAACTATGAAACATTTCAAATATATTCCAACGGCGGACAAGTTAGACATTTTGAAGTTAAGTTATAATAGTTCTAAGATCAATACAAAAGTCTTTGCACAAAATCCCTCTCACACAAAGCAATTTCAGCAGTTTCATTCTTAACATTCTTAGTTTCTAGAATGAGACATTTCAGGGCTCTGTGATCTTAAGAAAACTAGCTGGAGCTAGCCATGCCCATCCATCCCTCGCTCAGGCTGCTATAGGCTGAGAAGCTCTGATTTCTGAGGGCTTTGGATTAGAGCTGCTCTTCCATCTTTCTTGCATATATATGAGGGTTCTATGCTAATCTAATTTGTGATGTCGCAAACAGGGTATTTTTGAAACAGCTTGTTATAGGAACAGAATTTCTAAACCAAACACTGACAGGAAATGGATGGATGTTTTTTTTACCATGTTTGGAGTGTTAGTGGAGGAAGTAGAGACCCTCATGGCAGCCTTTTGACTCCAACATCAAGAAATAAACAACAAACTGTATTCTTGGATTTTTATTTTTAATTTCATTATTATTAAGGACAGTAGTAACTAAAATAGGGAACCTTTGATTCAAACATCCTGCTATTTTTTAAATTCTTAGTCATTTTTGGAGTTCAGTACATGCTTCAATTGAAACGATGAGTAAATGTGATTTACGGTGTTGTTAACAAAAATGGGTTAAGATGGCATAATCTAAAAAAATTAACAGGAAAGAAAAGAGCGTTGGACTTCACAGCCTAAATCCAATAACTAAACACAATAACTTTAAAATAAATCGATATTTGATTAAAGTGCCATATGTTTAATGCGTGATGTGGCTCTATAGAAGTGCCTTTACATCAATGTTTTTGTTAATGCTACTTCATTGTCAAGAACGGTTTAATCAAGACAACAATGTGATTTTTCACATATTCCCTGAAGAACAACACACTGTCCAAATGAAAATGGTGATAATGTTATACAGTCTTATATGAATCTGTGCATCATTATTGTCACTGTTGCCAACGCATCTCCTCACGTTATAAAATATCCCATATAGTGGTTGCTAGGCGATGCACAAAGCAGATGCAGTATCTCTCCATCGCCTCCACAACTTCCCACAACTTTAATTAAAATACTTTTTTATGCGTTTGGACTTCAACTTTAATTTATTGCTCTGAGTGCTGGCATCTTCATGGGATTATCTCATACTTTGTTAAATGCATCATTTCACAGATGCATTGATGGATACAAACTCCATCATGTTCTCCCACCACTTTTTCTCCCTGCCTCTCCCTTTCGAATGCTCCCTCGCTTGCCCACCCACACTGCACCATGAGCACATGTAATCTGGAATTGCATTCTTCCTTCCATCCTTCTCTCTTCTACTTCTCCACCCCACTTTTTCCTAAGTCTTTCACCTGCCACGTCTCTTACATACATACGATGTTCCTATACCCCGAAGAGCAGAATCTCATTTAAACAAATCCTATTCAGCCCCCTGTTCCTCCTTGCCCCCTCCCCTCCACTACTCCTTTTTATCCACCTTCTGCAATTCAAATTAAGACCATACTTTTGTTGTCTCAACAGAAAAGAGGCCTGTGCAGAATAATTTTGGTCTAAATATAAGATTCTATTGTCTTTGTGTAAATAATCTGTAACACTGACCACCCTATAGTTTAGTAAATCAGAGCATAAATGTTCCCATGTGCTTTTTTTCTGAGTCCAAGTCACCTCTAAAGTCTTTAAAGTCACATTAAGTATCAAATCTTTGAGATTGAAGTCCCAGTTGTGTCTAAGATCTTTGAAGAGCAAGTCCAAGGTCAGTTTAATACCTTTGAAATGCAAGTCAAAGTGAATTTTTAAACCTCTGGGGTGCATGGCCAAGTCAAACCTTACGTCCACAAAGACCAAATTCACTGTAAAACCGTTTTTTTAATTTTTATTTGTGAAATATGATCAGCCACTCTGAATTTCACATTCATGCTCAACGTGAAAATTGTCTTCTACCCTCATGTCCTGCATTAGCTGCAGAAAGAAAATAGACGAGGAAATGCTTAAGTTAAAAAAACAAACAAACAAACAAACAGATCTATGCCTCATTGAAGTATTAGCATTCATTGACTCAGCCATCTTGGCCCGGGAGGGGGAAGCTGTTGATTTTTCCAGCCAGGAAAGTAATGAGCTCGTGTCTGCAAGTACCGTAATAGCTAACTGTTAGCACTAGCAATTCCACAGCATGACAGTACTCCTTCAGGCTTGGTAGAGATCAAACATCAACGTTGCAAAGGAGTGGAGGCAGTGGAAGAGCTGCGTTGCTGTTAGCCAATCAGAGACAACATATCCAAATATCATGAATAATAGTGAATAGAATTCTAAATTCTGCCGTTTTCTGCCCCGCCCCACCCCCACCCCACCCCATCTCCATCTATCTTCCACTTCCTGAAACAGGACCACAAGAGCTTATTTTTCCTCCACAGAGAATGACTCACAAGACATTAATTTATAGATGCCACTGCAAATTTACTGAAAAATCAAGTGAATGAGGGTCAAACGTAATTCAAGTCTCAAGTTTTTAAGAGAAATGTCTGAGTCAGGTCTGAAGTTTTTTAAGTCCCACTCCAAGTCTTTGAGATGCAAGTTCATCTCAAGTCTCTAATTCCAATTTATTTATAAAGCACTAATAAAAAACAGTGATGTGTACCAAAGTGTTGTAACGGAATGAAATGACTGTTTTCCACCTAAACGTCATTTTCCCCCTCTCCTCAGTAAGAAATAATCTGCATGAGATATTGTTCAAGGTCTCATGCATCTGCTTCTAAACTGTTTTCCTTTCCAGCACAAGAGAAGAATGAAGACAAAGGACTATTCCTTTTTAATATATCAAAGAACTCTATTTTTAATAAGCTAATCAAACAAAGTGTCAGTCAATAATAAAATGTGAACCATTTTGTGAAATGAAAATATTAATTACTTGATATTATAATCCTACAGAATATAATAAGTAATATAACTTTAAATGTTTCCACTAGAGACTGATCACATGTAGCGTTAAGACATGACACATTGCTTTTACTGATCCAATCAGAATCTGCCAGATCTGACGGAGGCATGGTTTTGGTGGTGCTTGGTAAATCTGTCATCTTTTCATTCGACCATAAACCAAAACATCCGAAGTATAAAACTATGCCCACGTCATCTTTAACGCCAGTTCAAAGTGTTCTAGAGAAGTTGACGGAGTGGCCAATCCGTAACTTTCCTCTTCAGCCGAAAGAACCAACGACAAGCTGGATAAAATCTGTTGCTGTTCCAACCAAGCAACGGTTCCTTTCAGAGTAAAAGCTGAACTCATTGACCCTCCGGGTCCATCTGATGCTGTCAACCAACTGTCGCTTTTTACCTGAAGACATTCCAAAGACTAGTCTGTCGTACTGCTGACGCTGTTTCATCAGCTCCGGTACCGAAAGAGGGGTTCGAGGACCTGGCATTCTGGATCTGTACGGAGATCTCATTCTAAGCGTATGTGTTGAGCTACAAGATGGCGTCTTACGTGTTTATGAATCTCCAAATCAAAGCTTAGCAGGAAGACATCACCTTCACTTCCATCGGAACTAATCGTTTCTTCGGATTTGCTGGTTCTGAACAACATTCCACACTACACCATTCTCCGTCTCACTTCACCTTAGTTACACCATACACCTAGTGTTTAAAGTTAATCTAGTTTTGATTTGTTTAGTAATAAATCTTTAAGCGTTTTAAACTTGAATCTCTCTTCTATTGTCTCTCAGTTAATACGAAGTGTTACATAATCCCTGCAATAAAAAGTTCCAGTCTTCTGGTTAAAAGTACCCAAATATCCATAAGATTGATTTCATATTTATTATGGAATCTCATGTCTTATGGTTCATTAAATAGATGTAGAATGACAATGAAAACATATAAAAACAAAGGACATATTACAGTGGCAACAAGATTATAAAGTCACAGTAAAACCAACCAC